TGTCTTTTTATTTTAAAAAAATCTAAAAATGGGCAATAACTGTCGGTGGGCAATAACACTCCTGTTTACCCTATATACAATTGTACATTGTATATGCTCAGGGTAGGAAGTTGAGCTTTGAACACTAATATTTCCTTGTCGATATACATTTCACAAAGTAGGTGATGAAGTTAGTGCATGAACCGACAATAATTCAGTTATAGACAAACTAAAGGCTGATGTTTTGGTGTTCGGAATTCGACGGATGCAAGCTTTTCATGACGTGAACGTAAATATATAACCCTAACAAATTTTGTAAATGAAAAAAAAATAACATTTACAATATTCAGAACGTTCTGGATACTTATTTATAAATCTATCAATAAATTAAAACAGGTTTCAGGTAAAATGCTGCAGGTCACTGATGTATTTTAAGAACAGCTAATAAAACCACGCGGTTGTGTTTCGAACTAACAGTATTGATATTTATGGTCAATGGAGGCTTTTTCAAAATTGTAATAAAGAATCCCGGTGCAGTTATATTATTTTTTTGCAGTTATTTATTTTTATTTTTGCCCGCCACAACCTCCCAAAACCGCTGCAACTCATGTAATAGTTATATTATTTGTCAAAAGACCTATTTAATAAAAGGAGTAGGCTGAGGTGCACATTACGCCACTTAAGTCACTGTTATTATCACATGATATGAGTCCCATGTAACAGGAGGTGAGCCTATTGCCACACATTCGGGCACAATTCCAGACTCTATGCTACTTCTGCACATGATCTCTGAGACCTAAGTATTTTTGGAAAGACGATGAACGCCCCAGGTGGCTGCTTAAAGCAGATCTCCTGCTACTGGCCGACCTGGAAGATGGTATTTAAAAGCAGATGTTATTAGTGCACTAAAATACAGATTGAGCCAAAGAGCAAAAATTTAGGAAAAACAAAAATGAAACCACGATCATTATATTGAAATTATTTGGTTCTAAAAATCAACTAATTTAAATTCGTATTCATTCGTATTATTTATATTTTTCCTCTTTGGGTGGATCATAAAATATTGGACATAAATCTTATATTATATCTTATACTAGGTATTATATAAAGTTGAAGAGTTTGTGTTTTTGTTTGTTTGTTTGAACGCGCTAATCTTCGGAATTACCAGTCCGATTTCAATAATTATTTTTGTGTTGGATAGTACATTTATCAAGGAAGCTTATAGGCTACAAAACATCACGCTACAATTAATAGGAGCCGAGCAGAGCGAGATATATATACCTACTAAACTACGTTGTTTATCCATCTAGTGACTAGATTGTAGTCGCTGGAATAGAGCATAAATAAGATCTAATAATGAACGGTGGCAGGTTTTATTAAAATTAATTATAAACCATCTATTTGGAAACACAATATTATTGATATAGGTACTACGCTTGTGGAATAATCTAGAGAATTATCTTGTTCTCAAGTAACATAACTGCAATGTTCATGAGGGTCTGTGTTTCATTTTGTCTACATTACAATTAACTTAAAAAACTAACACTAATTAACATTTGATGAGTAAAATATGGCATCCCTTAAGTCCTTACTGAAAAAACAATTTAGTCTATAAACATTATGAAAATATAAAGTCATTATTGGTAGAAAAGAATAAATTATTATGAATTCAGTTCTTAAAATAATCGATATCATTAATAAAAATAAAAGGTTTTAAATATAGTAAAATTATTACTTTTTTTTATTTGCAAATGAAAAACGAGTTCGTAATAAATATTTTGGTAAACATGCCTGTCCAGTGGCATGTAACCGACTTTCTAAAGAACGGAATTCTTCATTCACGAGCAAGTGTTAAAATTTTGGCGCCATTTGTCGAAAAGGACGAAATGTCATCTGTGAATTCTACTTCCGAACTTTATAGTAGTAGGTAGGTATTTTTTTATAGTATTACTTGTTTACTTACTTAATCACAGGTAACGAATTATTGTATTAATGAAAATTCGACCTGTACGTTTTATTGTATTAATTGTAAAACCGATAGAGGCATATCTGTTGCTGTCTTTTTCGCTACAATAAAATAGATTTTAAGACTATAATCATAAATAATGATTTATTGCAGTTTAGATTAGGTAAAAAGATAGAGGAGCATATACAAAAAATAGGAGGAAAATAATTTTGAGAAAACCCAAACGTCATACGCGTTCATAATGCGATATTAGAACAAGAAATGGGTATAGTTCGAGTGCCTACCATGTCGTTCAATAATTTTATTATAGTTTTTTATTTAGTACCTACATTTTCTGTCATAAGTATAATTTCAAACTACGAGTTTACCTATTTACCCCGTATTTGAATCAAAATCAAAAAACTATTTCTCATTCATCTTTCTTCCTTTTCTTTCCTAGCTGTTTTTCAAATTGTTTTAGAATGCATCCAGATGTCTCAAGAAGGAGACAGTGGATTTGACCAGTTGAATTTTAGATCCCAAAAATGTGTGCCTATTATCATATTTTATATACTAACTAGTTATATCCAAATGACAATTCAATTTACTAAAAAAAATACTCATATGTACATGTATCTGGGGCAATCTCCATGATGTGTAAACCTGTCGAAACAATTTCAGTCCTAATTTATGGTAATGCGTATTGTGGGTTCCGTACCGCTGGTCGCACACAATGGCTCTTCCTAGTAAATGTTTTCATGCGGCGTACACGCAACTCCTATTCATCAGCGGAGGTTTTATCGAACTAATCGGTTTTGACGTGGGAGTTTAGTTTTAAACTTAAAAATGAAATGTGCATTAGATTTATATCTAGGTTTACTTTATTTTTACTAGGTGGGCGCGGTGGCTGGGCAACTGGCTAGTGCACAACGTGTCGCGGGTTCGATTCCCGCACGGAACAACTCTTCGAGCGATCCACATATTGTTGTTCCAGGTCTGGGTGTCATGTGTATGTGAAATTGTATGTTTGTAAATGCACCCACGACACAGGAGAAAATCCAAATGTGTGTGGCAACGTTTATTTTTCAAAATATTTTCAGTTTAAAATTATTATTTACTTAGAGTACGTGGACGACGGACGTATTGCATTTTGAACCTAGTAACGCAGTTACATTCTATGGTGAATATAGGTAATACAATTTCTTTAGCGTCTTTAAACTCCTTGACATTGTTTACAAAATTTTAGGGAACAGAGAGTATAGTTCCCTAAGATGGGAAAAGAAAGACCCTCCGACCAGGCTAGGTGATCGTGCCTGGCGGGCTTGCTGCCCAACAGTTGTACGTTGGGATCTTCAATCCGTGTTAATTGACGTGTAAACTTTGCATGTGCAATGTAGGATTCTTGTGACGTCATCGGTTGATTTGTTTTCATTTAAGTGCTTGAGCTGTCATTTGACATGTGTTGCCACAAAATAATTAAAGTAATAGAGCCGCAGTGTTTGTTACGCCATAAACGATGATAGGAGGGTAATGTGTTCATTCAAGTAATTTGGCCTATAGTCCAACAAAACATACGAGTACATACATAACATTACGCCTGTTTCCCATGGGGGTGGGCAGAGACTGCCAATTTCTAAAATTCTTACATACCTTTTTCGCTTCCTCCACAATTACCAACAGGCGAGATGGTGGCCAAGCATTAATCTATCAAGTATGAAAAAAAAATCAGTGTTTTCATGCTCACTTGTCGGTTCAGGGTATTTTAATCCAACTAAATAGTTTTCAATGAAATAAGGTGCGATTAAACGCAACACTAGTAACTCACAAATGGTGAACAACATCTCAAACTTCATAATTACTTACCAGTGGCATTGTTTTCTCTGAATTATTGTTATTATAGTGTTGGTCAAGATAATTTACAATTCTTGTATACACAAGATAAAGGAAATAACACATTAACGGTACATTTAATGAGTGAGAGTGTTGAATTTAAGTACAAAATAAACATTTCTCGAAATTATCCATTCTTCAAAAGAGAACGTTGACACAGATTTCCAATAAAACAATCGAAAAGATGTGATTTTTTTTTTATTGCCATCTACTTTTTTTTTGTAAATGTCATTTCCGCCAGACATATAACTTGGTAGGTTTCTACCTATTTAGTGAAGTTTTCCGAGAAAAAGATGAAATCTTTATATGTTGACCTTAGTTCTTAGTTCTTGAAATAATTGAAATATCGCTATGAATCAGGATTTCGTTGAATTTAATTGCTTTAATGAAGTTCATCCATCCATTTTTATAATCATGACCTTCTCGCTAATCCCGGGGTACTGAGTAATACAAATATAGAGGTATATAAGTACAATATACCTAATAATATACATAGGTATTTTTTAAGGGGGGAAAATCATCGAATGACTGCTCCCGCCTGGGTGAGGCGGGAGGGAGTGTCAGACTCTTGCTGACTAAAAACCACCCCGTTCCTTCTCCTGCACGTCGAGCCAGAGCCCCGGTAACCCGTTAGGTTCTCCACGACATACAAAGGTATTTGGAACTCGAAATCCATATAGTACCTTTCTAGCTAATCTTAATTTATTATGAAATATATCAACGTTTGAGTACCGTCATTATAGACACAATTAAAGAACTATAGGTGTTTGACAGTCTACTAATAATAACAAGAAACGATCTATTAAATCTTAGTAGCAGGCAATAAGTGTCGAAATATTTTTTAAATGAGAATTTACATTTGATCATTACCATATTTTTTAACAGCTTGAGGAAAAACAATGATCCTACCCAATTCATGATCAGGCAAGAAAAACTCAAAATTCTGAAACTCAAGGGAGTTAATTCTCCTCAATAACATTTGAATCCTACCCTTGAACACAACCTGTTTGTTTTAGAAGTTCGCAAGAAAGCATCTAGATGTTCGCGTGCACAGCTTTACCTTATAACAGCGGTAGTACGCACGCGCGGACCACAACAACACGCCCGGCCGGTGCGCGCGCACGCCATCGTCAAGCAAATTCGCGCCTTTTTCCTCCGCAATTTTATTATGTGAATGAGTTTTTAGTTTAACTAGAAATAATAGATTAAAAATGCGTGCAGTGTTGTTACTTTGTGCTCTAGTGCATTTAGTGGTGGGACAAGATGTTAATGACATGGTAAACATGCCTAAATACGATCAGAGATACGATTATTTGGACGTCGATGCAATTTTCACGAACAAGAGACTCGTTAGGAACTATGTGGATTGTTTGATTAATGCTGTTCGGTGCACGCCTGAAGGAAAAGCGCTGAAACGTGAGTTTACTTTGACTTTTTATTAACATTCAAATAAAATAGCTGAAATAGACGGAGTTTCTTAGTCTTTCCCATTGTTTTCTTTCTTGTTGACTACCTAACGAGGTTAGTTAATGATTTATTCACATAATAAATTAACAAGTTTCAACATTATTGTTATAAGTAATAGAGTCTATAACGATTTACAGCTGCAATATTAAATGTCAATTAAAGTTAATGAACCACTAAAACCTAGGTCTTACTGTCAACTTTTAAATATTCGATGCATCTGTTGCAAGTGTTCGCATTTACGAGAATATTATGCAATATATCAAGAAAGGTCAATCAAACTTAATTTATATGTAGTTTAGTTTGATTTTTATTCTTTTAATTATCATTTACAAGGTGAATTTTGCAATTTCAGTGGTAAGTGAGCAAAACGTTTTGGTTTTAGACGAAAACAACAAGGTTTTGTTTCTTATGCGCCCAGAGTGTGTTATGTAGGTAGGTGCCGCACGGACTAATTAACTCACTAACTCAAAATGTTATAAAAGTTCCTATTATAGAAGCTAACTGTTATCTACCTGTCCCGTCTTTCGATCGAATGCTATTCCCAAAATCCAGGTGAATGTGTATTTTTTTATCCACATTAATGTCCCAGCCATTATCAACCATTTATACCAGCGCAAGGCCCTGTCTTGCACATGCTGACTGGTCCCATTTCGCGGCAGACTTGGGACATGAACATGTATCTATCAGTACCTACTAATACAATGACTTATTTATACATGTCACTGGTTTTTAGCGTGAAATAAAGTTGTTTTCTTTCTTTCCAAATGTATCTATATGAACACTTCACGCAGCCATTTGAGGGTTTTTTTTAAAGGGGGGAAAATCATGAAATTACTGCTCCCGCCTGTAGCCATTTGAGGGTTACATGCGTAATTCATTTTAATTGTACGTAGATTGTATTGAAACTAATTATTTATTCAAAAAATATAAGTAACTTATTTTGATTTTGCGGTTATAAACATAAAATGTAGTATAACTATTAAATAATATATGAAGCATCGTATTCCCATTTAAAGTTTCCAAACTGTAATTTACATCACAATGCTGAGAAAAAACTATTAATTTAAATAATAACAATATTTAATTAACCCATTCATAAATGCCTAAAGTCGGATAAACAGTTAAATCACTATTTAATATGATAAAAAAATTAAAATAATTAAATTAATACCTAAATTATTCATGAAATATCATCATCATACATTTTGACCTCGGATTATATCATAAAATTATAATTATAAATTATACCTAGTCTTCATAACTTGTTTGTTGTATTGCTGAACTGAATACAACGAACGAATACAACACAACGACGATAATAAGCAATTAATACAATACATAAGACCAGAAGTTTATTTAATCATTCGCAGTATTTTAGTATAAGCTTAATATAAATGGCTAAATACGGCCATTGGCCGTTGAACGATTTCGATTTAAATGGCTATATATTATCATACGTGTACCTGGGTACTTACATACGGCTACCTTGAACTTAAACTGACTAGTTAATCTTCTGTCACATTAATTTTAATTAAATAAAGTTGTTTAATGTGTTATAGATGATATAATTAATGGATTCGGTTAAAAATAAAACGAAACTAATGTCTTATGTCATGTCTAACTAATAATTAGATATCGTGTCTACTGTTTATCGTCTTAACGTGTTTGTAAGTTATCTATGTATTAAGTACATTAATTTAATTGCGATTGATATAAACGTATATTATTATCTAAACATGATGTATATGGACGACGATGGCCACTTTACTAATCTTACCACCAGGTGATTCGTCGACCTTTATTCCACTGATCCATTTTTGAGATGGGAAAATAGAAAGAAAGAAGAAAAAAAAGGAAATACTGTTTATTTGCACACCGTCACAAAGTACAATAACACAAAAAAAAGCTTAAAATCATCCAATAACTCTTCTGCCTTGGGTGATGTGAGAGCGATTGAGACTCCTATTGACTAAAAACTACTCTGTTTATACCTACTTCTGCTTCGAGCCGGAGTCGTGGTAACCCGTTGGCGTATCCGCAGCTCCGGAGTTGGTTTTTACTGATAACTTACCAACGGGCGATTGTTTGCCTCCTATTTCATAAAAAATCTTATTCCATATATCCAAATACATCATATATAAACAGTATATATGTATACTGTTTTTTTTAAGGGGGGAAAATCATCGAATTACGGCTCCCGCCTGGGTGAAGCGGGAGGGAGTGTCAGACTCTTACTGACTAAAAACCACCCCGTTCCTTCTCCTGCACGTCGAGCCGCAACCCCGGTTACCCGTTAGGTTCTCCGCGACAATATATACTGTTTACGACCATATGCCTATGTTACCGATGTATATAAAAACATAGACAGTGGATATTGCTTTACGAATACATAATTCAAGTACCTAAATACTTACACTCGTAAGAAGTGGAGCGGATCGGGTTACTGGTTCAACGCGACGTATTCTCAACTCTCAAGCAATTTCTATCGGCTTGCCAACACGCGTGGGAAGGTTATCTTCAAGTGTAATCCACTTTCCATGCTCTCTGGTATGGCACCGAGATCTTAGATACATGTATGTGTTAGTACTGTGTATTGCGTTTCCTACAGAAGTCATTAAGTATTTGTTTGTGTGATAAAACTTATTTAACTCGTCGAGTACCGTCAATATAGACACAATTATAGAACAATAGGTTGCGGTCACCGGTGACCGCTTGGTGTTTGACAGTTTAAAAAGGTTGGTCGTTCTATCCTGGCTGTGTTGGTGCAGTTCATCGTTAAAGGTCGTAAATTGCGCGACATGGTCACGACCGCGCACGCTGTTCATGAGGAAGAGTCCCTCTGTGAGTTGAAACTAGTAGAGCTGTTCTCAGTACTATATTTACGTGAGTGACTCGTCCATTAATCATTCATAGGTTTCCTTTACATAATAACATTTGGTATAATTTTCAAGTTCGGCAGGTGAAACAGTTTTAAAGGTTCTTTATTAGAGCATTTGTTAGGTACAGTCAGACAGTCGCTGTTAAATGCGTAGTCGTTGAATGTCATTGATAAATTAATATACCTACTTTTATTTCGTTAAGAAGTTCTCCTCTATGATAGGTATTATAGCACGTCTTCCAAAGTATTCGATGAAATAATAGTATTCTTATCGTCATATTGTATGTCAAACTAATGTGCAGTAACACGAATTATTACGTCTAACTAGAAAAAAATAGAAGTCAGTTAATAAGCTTTATAATAAGTCGTTTTATAAGAGATCCGTTTTTCTTACTAAAATATTAATAATCGTCTTCAAAAAAAGAAGAAAGTCTTGAGCCGTTACGTAACTGGAATGTAGCCATCTTTCAATACGAACCTACCTCTTTTCTGCTGATTAATAATAATTACATAACATATTCTCTCTTTATAATGCACTGTCACTTTTATGCCAGAAATATAGTGAAAGTTTATTTAATTCTGTCCGGCGCCATAAAACTGCACGTGCCAAAATGTCAACTGGTTTTTACTGTTATGCGAACTCGAAAAAAAAAGTAGAAAAATCGATGAACTGCGTCGTAATGTACCTATTAGAATTCGTCCGATTCGTAATTTATGTGAATTCTTATGTATTTACTTGTAGTGCTAAAAAGGAGGAAGTAATATAAAATTTTAATTTATTGACGACAAGGAATTCGTAAATCTTAAGACCAAAATACGTTTTTTATTTAGTTATTTGTCTCAAGCATCTTGGCCCATAGTAAAATATATAATATATCAATAAAAATAATTCAAGTTACAAATACGATACTAACATACATCTACATAATATTTGTACTACATTGTGTTTTATATCTACCTATATTATACAATGCTCAGTCGCTTGATGGATGACTTGGAGTTAAGTTACCAAAAATTGAGAGGACACCACTGCCTACCGCATTGGCTGGTTCTTGGGTCCTTATTATACTTTTCTACACTATACATATTATTACTAATCGCCTCGGTTCATGACGATGACTGTAAAAGTAAATATAATCAAGTATTGTGCATTCTGCGACAAGGTTTTCATGAAAATTATAGTATTAATGGTACACATATACGTTATTACACCTAAGTAGGTATTTAATATGTTTATCTGTAATTCTCAGAATTCATATGAAGTTTCCATTATCAATAAATTATATAATTTGTAATCGATTCAGGGAATAACTAGGTACCTATATTTAATTACTAAACTTGCACCTGTTTCATAGCCTTTTTTTTTTTTTTAAGGGGGGAAATCATCGAATGACTGCTCCCGCCTGGGGAGGGAGTGTCAGACTCTTACTGACTAAAAACCACCCCGTTCCTTCTCCTGCACGTCGAGCCGAAGCCCCGGTTACCCGTTAGGTTCTCCGCGACTACCTGTTTCATAGCCTACGAGTTTTCCGAATGGAATGTTCATAGGGAAAATATAGCGTAATAATAAATATTAGGTATTAATAAATAATTTAATTGATTTTTTATTGCTTTCATCAAGTTCACTACTTGGTAGAGTTTGTTGTGAAATATAAAAAAAAAACTCGTGTTACTTATGTTTTTATAATAACTATCGTGAGACATACTAGGTAAATCAACTTAAAATATATTGAGAAAACGCAGTAAAATACGGTATAGGCTGATATATATACACTAAAATAGGCTGCGCCACATAGCTGCGACCGCGCACTCTGCTCATGAGTAAGAGCGCCTCTGTGGCTCTAAACTAAGAGAGCTTGTCTCAGTATATTCACGTGAGCAACTCACGTTTTGTTATTTGATTTCAGTGTGTGTGAGTGTTTCACATTCCCATCCTACTAATATTATAATGGGAAAGTTTGTGACGATGTATTTGTGTGTATGTGTGTTTGTTACTCATTTACGCCAAAACGGCTGAAGGGATCGAAATGAAATTTACTTTATATAACACAGGAACGCGACCGAAGCCGCT